TGTGTGTGTGTGTGTGTGTGTGTGTTTGTGTGTGTTTATGTGAGTTGGGTTTTTGTTTGTTTTGTTTTGTTTTGTTTTTGCCTTAACGGATTGCTTTGGTAAATGAAAGTGTGAGATGCCCTCATTAGATGCATTGCTTAGATTTGGGGATGAGAAAGTAATGCCTAAGTAGTTAGAGTAGAGCTTGGACCCTTGTGCCCCTAATAAGGAAAGCTCAGTCACCCATTCTCAATAGATTAATTAAAGAGGCAGGTAACAGTGAAAAGTGGAACAAGGAAATTTATTCATGGTGGGCCCCATTGTGAAGAGGAACAGAGACTCAATGACACCATAAATATATTGAATAAATATAAACCTGACCAAAGGCTTAGGTTTAAGAGTCCAGGCCTAATACTCACTGGTTCCCCACACTGAACTTTGGAGGAGTCATACTTTAGGCTTGTTCTTGGGACCTTATGAGAAGAGGGTAGACATTGTTTATATCTCCCCAGGTGAGGAATTTTCACAACACTCTACTGGGAGAACACAGGCCCAGATTCAGAAACAGAAGGGAGCATGAAAAAAGGGGACACAAAAGGCTTGGGTATTCTACATTCACTTCCCTGGCACCTGGCCACAGAAAATTCCAGGATCCCTATTTTAGAATTTACAGGTGTAGTCTTGCAAAGGTTATCTTAATTGTCATTTTTTCCCCTAACATCAAAGCATTACAAACTTAAGCCTGCTGCAGTAGTAACACTAAGTACTAAATACAGTGCCACCACCTCATCGTTCACTGAGCAGAAAGGGAGAGTGTACGATGAAAGTAATGAACTCCCCCATGTTTGAAACAACAAAATGGTTGACACTGAAAAGGCAGGAGAAACAACCACGGCGATGCAGACACTGCAGGGGAAGAGTTTTAATTTAAAAAAATGTAAAGCTCTTAGCTCTAAGCAAGACACGGTATTACCCGTGTTTGATTTTAGGAGAGGAAGTCTATAGGCGGGCTTTTATTACAGATCGCCTTGCTTGTGTTCCCTGGTGCCTAAGAGCCAAGCCTTTCTGTCCCGCCCACAGGAGGCGGGTCACCGCCCACCAGCCCCGTCCGCCTTCCTGACGGCGTCTACGGCTGACTCCCGCC